TTTTTTGCCTGCCCCTGGACTAGATAATCTCTTGAGGTCCCTCCTAGCCCTACTCTCAGAGCATGAAGTGAGTTTAAGATGCCAATCCTTGGATGCCAGAAGAATATCTTGAGATATCTATACTTAGGGTGACCATATATTCTAGATTTGGCTGGGACAGACCCAGATTTTGGAGGTTGGTCCCAGCCAGCTCATGAAAACAACTAAAATAGAGTATCCTGGGTGCAGAGCACAAGGGCCGAGTGGCAGTAGCTGTGAAATGCATTGATTGCTACTTCACAAGTGATTGTTAATATTTGTGAAGTATAAAACAATGGGTCATTAATAGGCCATTGAAACTCTGCGGCCTGCAAGGGGGACAGGGCATGGTAGGCAGGCAATACCCCAGATTGCACACTGTCTCATATAGGCACCCTATGTATACTGTATATTTATATATGCATTGTGACAGAATATTTGAGTCTTAAGAAAGTTTTAAATATTTCTGGATAAACAAGTGGATGCTTTACAGCTATCACTGGTATTAACAAAATACAAAATGTAAGTCTTTTCTCTTTTTAAGGTAAGACCTACTGTGTATATTCACAAAATAGTGAACACCATAGCTTGTTAAAGATACTGACGCACATCTTATTAATGATGATTTGTCTTTTTCCACCAGGTCCTTGATGACATTTCATCAAAGCCAGAAGAAGGAAAAAATCTAATCAGGTATATGTTCTTATGTAAAAATAATAATTGCTTTGTTTTTTAAAGTGCAAGTGACTGACCACTTAAAGAACATCTTTTTAATTGATTATCTTCTGTCTGCTTCTTGGTATCTTCTACTTGGATTTTTACTGAGAAAACAAGCTTTTTATCTTACTGACTTGGTGCAAAATGCACGGATTCTTTTTGAGTTTTTTGCATTGTTTAAACATTTTTAAAGAGATGAGTGTTTTGTTTAAAAAATATCAAAATCTAGTTAAATGAAGGTGGAGGAAAAGAATAAATATGATGTGAAGTACCTGTTCTGTTGGTGGTAGTATACAATATAAAGAATATCTTTGTCTAGGCTTTATTTTATTACAGCCCACTATTCTATAGAATCTGAAACCAGAATCTGTTTCTTTTGTCTTTTTAAAGATTTATAAATAACTTGCCTTCAACTGCCAACATTACAATGAATAATTTTAATTTTGGAGAAGTTCAGGCTTGGTCTGCAAGCAATTATACAGCATTCCAAAAAGGGACGTAAGTATCTTCCTTTACCTTAATCCAAAAGCTTTTAGTAGACACATCCTTGTCACTGGGAAAGCTACATGGAATATATTCTACTTCTATGTGACTTCAGTTAATTGTGTATTTTTTTTAATTTTTTTCCTCAGAAAAGAAGTTGTTGTTGTTACTAATGGTTCATCAAAATGCCAACAACAATCAATGCCATTTGGATTTGGCAGTGCATACACCATTATAATTAATGAAGTAAGTTGAGGTTGCAGAAAATGCAACCTTTCTGCTGGGCACTGGTCAGCAGCAACAAGGACTGGGTTCAAATGGGGTACCTGATAAGTTTTACTGTGGCTTGAGTCCCCACCCAGAAATCTGGGATCACTGAATCTGGCTGGGGTGTCCTGCATAAACAAAACCCCCTCCTTGCAAGCAGTATAAACACAAAAAGGATAGACTTATTACGAAAAATAATACTGTTCTTGAGCAAGGGACTGGAGAAGGGGGCCCACATTGGAGAATCCTATGAGCTGCTGGTTGGGTTTGCTGCATTGCAGGCTGCTGCTGGAGAACCACCTCTTGTATTGACTTAAAGTGGGGGAGAAGAGTAGGGCATTGATGTCCTTCTTGCTTATTAATGCTATCTGCAATATCCTCTACTATAGGAAATCTTGTTTATACCATTTATAAAAACCTTTATATAGTTCTAATAGGCTGTAAAAAAAATAAAAAAAAAATAAAAAAAAAATAAAAAAATAAAAAAAAATGTCCGTAATGAATTGGTTTATAAGATGGGTATTACTTTTTTTAATTACTATATTTAAAAACCTGGAGCCC